CTACTTTTCACTTACTACTATTTTTGTATTGTTATATGAAGAAAAGTAGTATGTGTTAAAGAATTTAACTGAGGATTTGTAATTGGCTGAGGATATGTAATTTAACATATCGTGTGATTTGAACTATTAAATAGCCTCTATAATGATAAATCAACAAATGGGTTGAGTTATATCTGTATTTGTCTCTTGTTTCATTTGGGTTTCTTAAGTAATTTAACAATATCTAAACCTTGTCTTGTTATTGAAATGAAAAAATCGTTTAAATTTGTATTTTTGACTTTTAGGGTTGCAACTAAAATTTAAAAAATATTAAAAATTACTTATTTTTGAACGTCACGTAAGGGCCATATCATATAGAGTGTCATGGACTAGTCAAAATTGTCTCTTTTGGGCTTTGAAAGAAATGCATGTTATGCAGAGTTTCACAGAAATTGTAATAAATTATTACTAAAAGACACAAATGTTGACATGTATTACTGAACAAGACTATCTTGCCTAAGTGATGAGGTATGCATAATCTCGGCTCTCATCAACAAAATTTTGAACCGACATATTGTTTTTTCCTCTCACTCTCAATTTTATAGTTTGCAATCAAAACAAAAACAATTTTGCTTATAACAAGCCCATGATACTCTACATAACATGGTCCCAAGGCATATTTTGGCACTTTTACTGTCAAAATATGCTGGGACGTTGATTTAATAGAAAGCTTTCTCTCTTATTCGGAATAAAAGATGTTTTGATATTTTAATATTTTATCATGTCTACCATGATAAATACTTAGAGTTCTACGTATATAGTGCTATGTTTAGACTATTTTACTTAACTCAAAAAATATGCAGCAATATGTGCCAATTTTCATACGAACTCCATACAAAAACCATACCAAAAATATGCTAAAAAGGTCTAATAAGTATTAATGTAAACATGGTAAAAGATAAATTTGACATAATGTTATGAATAATATAACGTTTTGTGATAACTGAAATGGAAACATTTTAACATTGGATGAAAATCATAATATCTAACAGAGGATATACTTTGAAGGCAAGTATAAAATCGACAGGGGCAGCGAGTTAATAATTGAGTGTATTATACTCCTGGTATTATATGCAAAATTCCGTCGAATTGTCGCTAAAATAAGTGTATTTTATTTGTATCATTAACATTCTTTTTGGAGACGCTATAAAGTCATATGCTTTGGGGGCCAGTTATACTCGTAATGCTATTGGAAACCAATACTTAATCATTAAAGTTCTTCTGGAACTAAATTATTTTAACTGCATAAATTAACGAAAACTAAGGTATATATGTAAGGGATATATACTAAGGTATATACTAAGCTATATTATATAGGTATACCTTAGTACATACAATAAATAAGATGATACTGAATAGGTAAGTTGAATTTATACTTATGGAAGAGAGATAGAGAATGTGAAAATCTCAACGCTTTGTTACTAAATATACTTAGTTCAGCATTACTCAAAACATAAATAAGTTGAATATAGTTCATAATAACCAATATATATTCTAATAAAGTAGTCATGATTTTTGAATTTTTTATCTGGTACCGTAACTGGTTACCATCAAGATTTTTCCAGAATCAATTTATAATGCTTTGTATTCTCTAAATATTTAATTGGGTATATGTGTATATTAATTAACTATGAAGTTTAATGTTTTGTCCTATGAAACGCTGACTTTATTCAACAATCACATAATTTTTTTACGGCGAATTTTACTGTTAAATTGACCTCACAATTCGCCGCATACAATGGCATACTAAAGAAACCGATAGAAACAATTAAATTTTTTGGAGCACGAATAAAAGATTGAAAAAAAAATTAATTCATTTAATAAGAATTAATAGAAAAGATTTTAAGCTAAAAACCAATTATGTATACGAGGATCGTTTGATAAGTTCACATTTTTATCAGTTTTAAAATTAGTCTTTTATGTAAACCTTTTATAATTTCACACTTTTATGTCTATGGTAGTACAATTTTTTCATGCTTCCCCGATATATAGCCACAATACATCTGTTAAGCATAATATAGACGATGCTATATGTATGCAAATCAAGTACGCCGTGCTACCAAATCGTACTGTATAAATTGAAGTATGCATACTAAATATTTGTCTGCAGACATATATACGGTAAAATTAGACCTTGTTTGAAAGTGTATAACAAATTGCATACTTGGTCTACATACTTGGTCTACATACTTGGTGTGCATACATGTAGCATCGTCTATATCATGCTTTAGTTACAGTAATAATGTCGTTGTTCAATATGTGGAAAAAGGTGGAAAAAAATATTCATATGTATACAATTGTATGGATGTATAAGCACATCCACACAAAAATACATATGTTTAAAAATGTAGGCATAAAAATATTAAACAAAATAGTAGTAAACATAAGAAATTGACAACTGTAGCATGGCTGGTAGAAACTCTATTACCTTGACATTTTATTGTTCTGGAGTATACTGGTCTACTGGTTTGACCGTATTTCATTCAAGGACTTAGTAGTAAACCCATGAGTGTATGAGTAGAACCTATTTGATTATTAGTGCAGCTATTGCAATACACGAAGTCCACTATATATTCAAAGATTTAGTAATAAATTCATATCCTTGGTGATAGAATTCTTTCGAACATTTTTGTAACAAGTAAAAGTAAAGTCTGTTGATTCCACTGCTTTCTATTCAGGGATAAACTAATGACTCTATATCATTGATGTTTGAACCAACTTAAACTTTCTTGCAACAAGTTTATTAGGTAAAATTATTTGTTTCGATTGTTTTTGTTCTGTTATACTCTAGTAAATCGATTTCATATTATTCTTTGTGACTGATAAAAATATTTTTTTAGGCTTACTTAAGTGATTGAATCTTAACTTAAGCAATTTATTACTGACTTCTTCTATAACCCCCGTATGTGTTAAAGAAACTGAAAAAAATTTCTGAACAAGTCTGTAATATTGGATGTATTTGCCATATATAGATAAATCAATTAAATTAACAAGGATTTATACTAATCACTGACCCATTAGTTCAAACAAACTTCAAGTAGTATATAAACAACAAAGAAAGGTCTGAGAAAACCTTTCTCTACTATATATAAAAAGTTCGATTAATAAATTTCAACTATCTGCTTAAAACTGCTCGTTATGGAAAGAAAGAACATCTCATGAAAATACATACCTAGGTCATATATCTCATCAAAGTACATTAACCCAAGATCTGGTATCTCAACTAATGCACTCAAATATCATGTCAAATTTGACATCCAAACATATGTACAACGTAAGACACTGATCGTGAAGGGCATGAAAGTATTATACCCATTTATTAAAAAAAGAGTACAATTACTGTATAGTAATTATATGCTTACCATTCACCATACACCTTGTAAATAATGTATTTATATCTTTTAACAGTGAACTCCTTTAAATAAATTAAAATTTGAAACTCAAACTGAATATGAAAATAATTTATTAATTTTATCGCATGCCAGAAATCCATAAATCCTTAAAAAATCAATAAAAAATGAAATTTGAAATTTTAATTTTATGCCCAACTTGTGCTGAACTTTAATGAGTTTTAAAGGCACTAAGAACCGAAAATCGCTCCATTAAATTCTGGAAGAAGTGTTCGAAAGAGTAACGTTATGGGATGATACCAATAAATAACTTAAGTGTGAGCTTCGTTGTCATAAATTGTTGACCACCGCGTTTTTTTGACGTGTATGCATAAATTATTAATAATTTTAATTTTCGATTTTTGGCAGGCAGGATTTTAATTTTTTTTTTTTTGGCATTAAAAATTTTTAAGAAGGAAGTTCATTGGCACCTTTTGTAATAAAAACGTAGCAAGGCTTGCCAACTTATTTTCTTAAAAATATTTAATTTACTTCTTACAGAATACAAGCATGAGCAACTCGCATAGTACGAGTTAGCATAAAGTTATTCCTCAGATCTTTTAAAAATCAAACTTCTGGGATAAATGATCTCTCATTATTTGTTACTGCCATACAACAATTTTATAAATAAGATAATTATTGATACCTTAACAGAAGCTACTAACGATGTGTTATGATTCATATAAATATATACATATAAATATATGTTCATAGTTAAATATTTTCAACAACTCCATCAACTGTGACTTCAAGTATCTTATTGAACAGGTCTAGCTCGACAGGTCTGACTCATTGTCGTCAAATAAAAATTGTTGTATGTCGTCGAGATAACATTTCAAATTGATTACAAGCATAACTGAAGAAGCCGAAATCCCTAAATCCTAAAGCCCTTATTTTTATCAAACGGAAAAAATATGATCTCGAACATTAATTTCGATTTCGTGAACAGGTAAAGAAATATAACTAAGCGAGGCCTGGACGTAAGCTAACAAAGAAAATTATTAATGGGTTAATGGATGACTCTATGTATTCATGATAAAGTTCCAGAGTAGAAATGATGTGGCATACGAAGGGTATTGTTTTTAGTCCTTGCAAATCAGACATAACACTATTGTGAAGACATAGGGACAACGCGTTAGGCATATTTAAACATCCTCTCCGCACAAAAAAAATCATGATTCCTAAAACGTTATAGAAAATTAAAAAAATTATATATTACAAAAATTATATATATACAATCCGAAAAAAATTTAACGGATCTGCGGCAAAGCATAACATGAAGACCCTGCAGGTGTCTGTGCTTAGGCCCTTAGTGTCTGCAGCTGGGGAAGACAAGGACGACCATATATGAATCCAGTAAATATTTCAATGCAGTTAAATATATAGTTAAATCGATAGAAAAAATAATGTAATATAGACTCGTTTTTAGACACCTGAGACTTTAATAAAAGCTAAAAGGGACTTTGACAACAAAAATTATTTGTTATAATCTCTATGATATATGGTTTCCATTGTTAATTGACATTTAAACGCATTTCTACATAATTGTTATGAAAAGTCAGTTAAAAATTGAGTAAACCAATATTTTAATAAATGATAATTAATTTTATAAATGCATAAGATATTTTTCAAGAATATTTTAATTAAAATTCAAACATCGAAACTAATTAAAAAGCCAACGTTTTATGAGATGACTTTGAGCGATCTCCCAATTTCGGTAAAGGCAGCTATGGCATGATCAATATCATCTTTGGTATGAGCAGCAGAAATTTGTACACGAATTCTAGCCTTGCCTTTTGGAACAACTGGAAAACTGAAGCCAATCACATAAATACCATGAGCTGAAAAAAAAAATATTTTATTAGTTATCAAAAAAATATCGTAAACCAAATATAATTAAAATCTTTATTATTTTATTTATAGTCTTGTATTATTATTAATTCAATTCACTAAATTAATTAATAAAAAACTAATACTTACTTAACATTTGATCTGCAAATATTGAAGCCAAACGTGCATCACCCAACATCACTGGACAAATTGGATGATTTTCCCCGGCAATTGTGAAACCTACTTTTTTCATACCTTCCCTAAAGCGTTGAGTGTTTGATTGTACGGTCTTCGAAAGTTCGTCGGATGCAAGCAACATATCTAAAACTTTAGTACCAGTTGCAACAGTTGCTGGAGCTAAGGTATTCGAAAATAGATATGGACGTGCTTTTTGACGCAATAACGTTACTAATTCCTTGGAACCTGTTGTATAACCACCAGAAGCACCACCCATAGCTTTTCCTAAAGTTGAATTTATAATATCAATACGTCCCATAACGTTGTGATACTCTTCAGTGCCACGACCAGTAGGTCCAAAGAACCCTGTTGCATGACATTCATCTATGAATACAAGAGCATTGTATTTATCTGCTAGATCACATATTTGTGGTAAAGGAGCAATATTTCCATCCATAGAGAAAACACCATCTGTTACGATAAGTTTGAGACGAGCATCGCTTGTTTTTAATTGCTCTTCCAGATCTGTAAAGATTAATAATTGCAATAATTGAATATTAGAAAATATTACTTAATAAAGTGGAATTTTACGAATATGAAACGGATATCGAAAGGATACGCTGCTTTTGAATTAGCAGTATTTGGACTGAGGTCTCATAGTGTTCTTGACGTGTGATATTTCAAAAACGATGTAACATATTCAATATTCACTTTTTTTTCGTTCATACTAAAATTTTCATTTATACGGCAACTTTTTAAAACTCATCATACCTGCCATATCTCTGTGCTTATACCGTTGCTTCTTGGCTTTACATAAACGAATACCATCAATGATTGAAGCATGATTGAGTTCATCGGAGAACACACCATCTTCTGGTGTTAAAATTGCCTCGAAGAGACCTGCATTGGCATCGAAACAAGAAGGGAAGAGTATAGCATCTTGGCGTCCATGAAATTTGGCAATTTTTTTTTCTAAGTTCTTGTGAATGTCTTGTGTTCCACATATGAAACGCACTGAACTTAATCCAGCGCCGTATTGATCCACTATTTCTTTTGTGTATTTGACTACTTCTGGATTATTCTATAATTGAAGACATGAAACAAATAAAAGATTAACATTCTTAAGTAGCAAGAAACATACGGCTAAGCCCAAGTAATTATTTGCACAGAAATTTAATATTTTTTTATCGCTGCCCTGGACTGTTATCTCGGTGCTCTGCGAAGATGTTATTACGCGTTCCCTTTTAAATGTGCCAGCATCTTTGATTGATTTGATTTGTTCATTCAATATTTCCGAGAATTGCGCAATGGCCGGCTTCGCACTCGAATAGCCACGCGCCTGTTGTCTGATAAGATGTTCACTGCCTTTAATCAAAACAATTTAATAAGAGTTTAAAATTTAGTACACAAAACTGTGCTGAAAGTTTAAAGCAATTTTAAAGAATACATTATATCTCTATAATTTATTAATATAATAATACCTATTTGAATTGCTGGATATATTATATACCAATAAAGTTTTCCAAAAATAACGAAAGTTATATTCCTATAAGAATAGCGTAGGGTTCTAATTTTTACATTGATTTTGTATCAAAATTCTATTTAGGTAATATAATTCTCACGGACTTGAATTACTTATGCATATATAATAACATAATTAATATATATGTGGCATTATAATGTTAATACAAATAATAGCTACTTTTATAAGTAAAGTTGAAAACATATTTCTGTCACGCAGTTTTTTTTTTCTGAAATTCCATATTTATTATTTTCTCCTTAAGACATTGACTTAGTATGGAAATAAGTTTTATGATCCAAAATTGACTTCGACAATGAATTGATTGGTTATTATATTTTTTCAGATATTTGTTGCTGTTCAGTTAAAGAGAGCAGTGTCTACATTTGTATATATTCAGTTCTTGATTTTAAAAACTATAGTAAAGTTTACTAAATGGCTTGATCATATAACGATCTCGATTATTACTAGTATCGTTAAAAGGGACAGTTACAACACATTGTTACCTATAAGACTTATTGCACCATCTCTTAAAAGAGTCTTCTAAGTTAAACTTAACTTAATAAAGCTGTTAATAAGCATAATAATGTCTTTTGGTTTTAGATTGAATTGAATTGAATTGGATAAAGTCTTAGATAAAGCCATATAAAGTCACAGGATTCATTTCCTGACAATCGCAGGTCACAGGTTGATAAGTTGGCCGAAAGTATCTACAACCACAAGTTGATACGACATATTTTAAAAGTTAAATTTGATTATAAGGTCTTCAAAGATATTGAAAAAAAAAATTATTTTATCACAAAAATCTTTCTTTAAAAAACGCATTGTTCTTAGCTAGATCGAAGACGTAGTGAGTAAGGTCTCATGTATCAGAAATTTTGAGGTGTGATCCATTGTTTGAATAAGTAGGTTGAAAGTTTCTAATTATTTGTTGAATATAATAAAAATTTAAAAAGACAAGCCGTAGAGAAGGGTTTTGAAGAAACCTGGTAGTTAATAGAGATTAAAAGTGTTGAAATGCACTGACTCAACTAACTTCAACGTAATAATAAAAAAAGCAAAGATATCTTATATCCATTTTATATCCATTTATATTGAATGGAAAAGGACTTTCGGCTGATTTTGGTAAAAGGTGAAGTAAAAAAGGTAGCTAGAAAATACCATGAAATAATATAAATTCATCCCAACACTCTTGCTTCGAGTTTAATCTCCGACTCAAAAATTTTTACAAGACTGAAAAGGAGAACTCCGCATCAGATGTTATAATATAATAAAATTTAAAAAAAAAAGTATCTCTCCACGTTTTAAATCTCATTTATCAAAAAATTGTAAAATGTCATTACATTATTTGACTGAATACATATAAAATTTAAATTAAATTAAAAAAAAAACTGGATTATTATAGATATTTAATATACATTTTTCTTATCTACGAGTACTTTAGGTTTATTAATGAAAGAAAAATTTCATTTATTTGCAGTTATGAGCAGATACATTATTATAAACAGAAAAATATTTTTCCAGTTATTTAAGGATTATTTATTCATAAGAACAAGGGATCGCTATTTTTTTTATTTTGTATTAAAATCAGCTTATTAACTTATTCTGTATGATTTTAGAATTATTTTAATGAAGAATTAATTATACTATACAACCGCATCCCATACCACTATAATCACTGTTAATATTATATGATTCATAATCCAATTGCATTTATATCATTACTTAATATTTTTTTTCATACAACGTAATTTTGAAAATATTGTATCTGCAAGATTCATATAAAAATATATATTTTCTTTATACAATTGAATTTTTTTTTTTTTTTTGCTTCAAGCAACGTAAAATTTGCATAAACAAAATTGTTTTAAAAATAATTTCACAAATATTTTTCACCTCTTAGCAACGCAAATTTGGAAAAGATTGGCATTTTCTTTGAAAGTATCGAGATAGAAATTTTGCACGACACACCCGCGACAACTTTTCACTCAGCACTGAAAGTTGAGTGCTTTCCCGCCACCATAGAAACTCAAACAAAAACAATATCGGCGAGCATCGCCAACAGCTGACTTCGTTTATTTATGTTTCATTTATTGTTATTAACAACAATAATAACAGCAACAACAACAACAGCATTGTTATTAATAAATAAATATTCACTTATCCACAAACCGATTGGCCTGCATGCACATGAGCTATGACAACTGCGGCGATGGCGACGATGGCGGTGGCGCACGCAGTTCGAGTGAAGATTTGAGATACAAGAATTTCACTTTCATTTATTTTAGTCGCATTCTACAAGGTTTGGAGATACAAAACAGCACGCGTGCAAGGGAACTGAACTAGAATGACGCTCAGCTAAATGAATCTAAATTGAGTCGCTGCCGGCATTATTAGACAAATTTATTCTACACAAACTAAGAAATATTAGTGATAATAGAAAAAATTTCATTCTATTGTTAGATATATATAGATATATAGATAGTTCCAAAAATCTGCAAATGGACAATTATTGAGTGATGCTTACAACCGAAAGCGATCAATATACTAAACTGTATACGTTATAGACAATCAAAGCACTAAACTCGCATCAGGTGATCTCAATACTGGTTCAAGGCTGCCTTGATAAATTAAATGTGCTTGGCAAATCAAATCAGGTGTCGATTCTTTGGATACCGGGACATACTGACGTACGCAGAAATGAATACTTAGTCACACCGATGATGGGACTGGAAGCTTTCTGTGAACTACGACATAATACGCTCCTGTCTCTCATAAAAATAAAGCAGAACTAGAATAAAAAGAATAACTGGGATAATATACCAGGATTAACACAATCCAAATCAGTTATTGGTACCTATAATAATAAGAGATACCAGGATTGTATCAATCTATCAAAGGAAAAACATTGAATTATCACAGGATTCCTAACAGGGCACTATAAACTGAATTACCACCTTGAGAGATTGGGTATACGTACGGACTCAAACATACGGAGGATTCGGAAATGCACTGCGCTAATGCATATACGGAGCAGGCTCGTTGGAATGTATTTTCTTACAGAAGAGGCAATAAAAATTTTTAATTAACTGAATGAAATTTGGCTGACCATGCAACGCTGTTTCGAGTATTGTGAAGAACTCATCATCAGTGATCTTAGGATATATTTGAATTTTTAATTAGTTTATAATACGTATATATTTGAATTTTTAATTATAGTATATATTTGAATTTAACGTATTATACGTATATAATTTATTGGATTGCAATATAAAATAGTTTTTAATGTATATAATTTCCTCATTTATATGTTACAGTTTCCTGTAAACTCTTAGAAGACAAAAAGACCTAAACCTTTCCTATTGCTTCATCATATATGGGAGTAGAAGAAGGAAGAGACGATAAAAAAACATCCACGGGAATACTGCAATAATGCTCAATAAAGATAAAGTAATGCCTAATAGTTATTATTCTATCATTCATTTTCTATTGCTCTCTGTAGGCGTAGATATTGTTCTCTGTAGGATAGAAAGTGATTCATTTTAAAATGGAACTTCTTTTCATTATAAAATATTATCTCGGATATAATTTCAGGGCACACTTTTATAGGAATTCACCAGTACCAAATTAGCTACATACTTGTTTTAATCAATAAAAGCTGGCATCTTTAAAATAATCGATTACACTATATTTAAACCGATTTCTCCATATTTCCACTAACCATTTAACATTTACACTACTATATTTTACTATTTTTTACTATATTTTAGCTATAGTGATTTTATGATTTTAAGAATGTAATCATAAGATCCGAAACTCAGTTATTGGAAATGTTAGGTGAAACTATCATTATTATTATTTTATTCTAATGAGTCTCTCGATTTAAAGCTGCTTTATACTCCATTCTATCTTACTATAAATAGGTTCTCGATGGCCGTTATTTCTTCACTTTTCAATCAATCTTACTATAAATTGGTTCTTTATTGGCATATTCCAGTTTCTTCCGCCTAAAAGCCAACTGAATTATTCATTCCATTCCAATGAAAACTTAAGTTCTAGGTATTTAATTGAATGAAATTAAATTGAAGAGTCTTTTCTCGAATACTTTTTCAATAATAAAAACCTGCTTCTAATAGGAATCTTTTAATTTATTAAATTATTTATACAGCATAAAATCTTTTTTCTAAAATTTGAATAAATTTATTAATTTCACTCGGCAGTTGAGTTGGGGTAAACGAACGCTTCCCCATGAAGATGAGTGAATTATCAATAGATTTATTTATATTCATGCATGAAAATAATATATGGTACATTGAAGGTCATTGCCAATTTAAACTTTAAAATATTTTACACACAACAAAAAATAACTGCAATGTTATATATATTTCTTAAAATGAACACATCTCATATCTTATCGAAAGACACCGTAAGACGTCATATCATCATACTCATCTTCAATGAAATAAAGAGCTTCAATGTCTGTTAATAGGAAACATATTATACGGAACCATTTTGTGATTTACTCTTGTAAATTCTCTTGAAAAATCGAAATTCTTTTCACTCCATTATAAAAACAGAATTTATTTATCAATTCTAAGTTAAATTGGGTTGAAGTGACAGTCTTGCACACCAAATTTTACTTTAGCACAAATAATTGAATGTACTGATACCACGGATAAAACAGTGTTCATACTCTTGTTCAATGGGATCAACAGAATATAACAAAATAGTTGGTGTATGGACAACCTTGAAGAAAATGGGCATGATTCCCAAATTTAAAAACTGAATAGATTTTGAAATCTGACAAGAGTCTTTCACTACCCAGGATTCTTTAACTGTCGCTTGATATTATTGTTCGTTTGTTTATGTCATTTTAAGTGAAAATATTAATATCTGTGGCATATGAATTTCAGAGAGCAGCTTGACTACTCTGGCAAGTTCGTTAGCCGTATAGTTACCTAAAAACTCCGTACACCCAGGTACCCATATGTGTTCAACGATGATCAATTGAATCAACTAGTTAAGATACACAGTTGATATTTTCGAACTGTGTAAGATGTAACTGAAACGCCTCATAAAGACTTTCAGCAACTTGGTTGTCCGGGAAGATTGTTTATGTCGAGGGTTTTGTGGCTCAGAACCCATTTATTTGGAAAATGGATTGATAGTACATTTGCCTGAATTATGTTGCAGTGTTTTCGTGGTCGAACAAAGATGAAGAGATCTAGCTATTGCCGGCTCTGCCGTTTAGTTTGCAGTCGGTATGAGAGAACAAAAAAGAATTTAAGGTTTGGTTTAATATTCTGATTCTAGAAAATGGGGAGCACAATGTAAATTCTGGATGTGAGAATAATAACGTTGAGTGCCGTTGTCACCAAATCTGTAGGCTGTTTAACCAGAAGCTTAATAAGCTATAATCTATCAGAAAATGAAATTCATTAGTAAGCATCATTTCATTTGATATCTTATATGTTGGAATAATCATTTCAAGGTACAAGTATCTAAAATTCTTCGTTATAGTAAATATACCATTGCTTAATAGGCTTTTATCTTGTGTGTTGTATCTATGTCTTCTGAAAATATGAGGGTAAATTGTCACATATCTATCAATAGCAACAGAGAGTGTTTTCTGCTATAATCCGTCATTAGACTACTGACAATATTTTTGAGTGATTAGAATTAGCATGATAAAAGGCATTTGAGATTAGTTTTGGAGGTCTTGCCTTATGCTACGTTGTCGTAAAATACGTCCAGCCTTACTACTTGTTTAGTAATGGACAGTTTTTTTTTTTGAAGTGTTGTTTGCGACTATTTGTAAGTTGGCAGAGATGTTAGTTTTTGTATAACCTGAAGTTGTTTGTTAATGAATATGACTTTTCGAAGAGAATTTTTTGTCAACAGTAACGCCCAAGTAAGTCATAGAATCTTCCCATTCAATGTCATCGTCCAACGTTAATATGTAATCTTCTTAGATGTAAATTACATTTCCTAGTTACAAAGTTCGCTTTTGTTTCTTTTGGTCACTGTGTAGTTTCTATTTTCGAAAGCAATGCAGAAGTGTATCGATGTGATCTTGTACGGTATTTGATAAGTGCCTTGTTCGACTTTATTACATACAAGTCATCAGTTTATAGAGAAAAGATTAATTAAAACGTAGCATTATTATTTTGCAGGTTATATTTTTATATCTGTGAAGTCTTTTTCTTATACATATTGAAAAAAATATTAATCTTGTTGCGATTCTGGCTTCTAAATCATAATTCAGTAGACTGATAAGTACACTGAAATATCCAAATACATACAAGATTATTCCTAATAACATATTTTTTCTAATTGACATAAATGAGACACTTAAGTCAATGTAACTTGCACATTTTAGGAATAAATTTAGAACAGCTTCACTTTGCCAACTGTCAGGCAATAGTAAATTCTTATCTGATAAGTGCATATACCCACCTGCCACCTGATAAGCGCTTAAAACAACTTTACGCACTAAATATTTTCGAGAAATTTTCCAGCAAGTCTCGCAAAGTAAACAAGATGCCACTTTCCGAGTGCCTGTAACATGACAAGGTACCAACTCATTTGTCTCCGTCCTGTAATTACATTTGTGCGAGTGTCTTGTAAGTCTTCACAGAGTTTTGTCTTTCTCCGATTCTCCGAATGCCACCGAATGAAAAAAGTCTGTGGCTCCTTTGACTTTGTAAAAGTTTCTATTCCTTCTCACTTCGTGGGGAAGTAATTCCAGTTTTAATTGCAACTGTGGGTTTTGGACTTGTCGTCTGGTGTGTGATGTCTGGTGCGCTGTCCGTGCGCCATATGCGTGGAGTTGTGTTTGGGAGTGGGACTATGTTATGGCTTGCTTAATTGTGACATAGAAATGCATTTACTTAATTGACTTTAATGCAGCAGTCAAATGTTTCAGTGAAACTGAAAATATGTAATGAGATACGCAGAAGATATCAGCTGCACTTTTTATTTTTAATTGGGAAGAGTCTTCATATCC